AAAAATTTCTTTCTTATATCTAACCTAAATCTGCCCTCTTTCAGTTTAAAGCCATTGCCCCTTGTCCTATCACTACACACCCTTGTAAAAAGTCCCTCTTCAGCTTTCCTGTAGGCCCCCTTTAGGTACTGGAAAGCTGCTATAAGATCACCCCGGAGCCTTCTCTTCCCCGGGCTGAACAGCCCCAACTCTCTCAGCCTGTCTTCATAGTAGAGGAGCTCCAGCCCTCTGATCATCTTCGTGGCCCTCCTCTGGACTCGTTCCAGTAGCTCCATGTCCTTCTTGTGTTGGGGACTCCAGAGCTGAACACAGTATTCCAGGTGGGGTCTCACGAGAGCAGAGTAGAGGGGCAGAATCACCTCCCTCGACCTGCTGGCCACGCTCCTTTTGATACAGCCCAGGATACGGTTGGCTTTCTGAGCTGCCAGTGCACATTGTTAAATAGCACTGGTCCCAGTACCGACCCCTGAGGAACACCACTCGTCACAGGCCTCCACGTGAACATTGAACCGTTGACCACAACTCTTTGAGTGCGACCATCCAGCCAATTCCTTATCCACCAAGTGGTCCATCCATCAAAACCATGTCTTTCCAGTTTAGAGATGAGGATGTCGTGTGGGACAGTATCAAATGCTTTGGATAAGTCCAGGTAGACAATGTCAGTTGCTCTTCCCCTATCCATCAATGCTGTGACCTCATCATAGAAGGCCACCAAATTAGTCAGGCAGGATTTGCCCTTAGTGAAGCCATGTTGGCTGTCACCAATCACCTCCTTGTTTTCTATGTGCCTTAGCATAGTCGCCAGGAGGATCTGCTCCATGATCTTGCCAGGCACAGAAGTGAGACTGGTGAGGAAAGTCAGACTGACTTTCCCCTTTTTAAAGATGGGGGCTATGTTTCCCCTTTTCCAATCATTGGGAACTTCACCAGATTGCCACGACTTCTGAAATATGATGGATAGTGGCTTAGCAACTTCATCAGCCAGTTCCCTCAGGACCCGTGGATGCACCTCATCAGGTCCCATGGACTTGTCCACCTTCAGGTTCTTTAGATGGTCGTGAACCTGATCTTCTCCTACAGTGGGCAGTTCTTCATTCTCCCAGTCCCTGCCTTTGCCTTCCGTGACTTGGGCCATGCTGCTAGAGCTCTTGCCAGTGAACACTAAGGCAAAGAAGTCATTGAGAACCTCAGCCTTCTCCATATCTTGGGTGGCCAGATCTCCCGTTTTCTTCCAGAGAGGGCCTACATTTTCCCTAGATCTCTTTTTATCACTGACATATCTATAGAAGCCTTTCTATAGAAAGAGGCCTCTATTTATAGAGGCCTATAAATGACCAATATGTCATACAGGATGTGACAATCCTCAGGATGTGACACTCCTGTCAATTTTTTTGTATACTAAAAAAACAAAACAGTACCTACTGGTTAGTAGGTGTTTCCCAAATAGAAAACTTACACTTCATTCTAAATTCTTCACACCTTTGGCATTTATGTGATAGAAATTCACAAAGGTGGCTCCAAACATACATGGAGGAAAATAATTTGCTTGAAACCCTACCTAGATGACTGGAAGGGAGATTCCATAGCAGCTGTGGGTTTTTTTTGCCCAAGGTGTTAACAGCTACATCTCTACTTTTATTTATATCAACATTGTGGTTTTATTGAGTGTTCTCTCCAAAAATAAGGTACTATCATACTTTCTCTGATTGGTTATGTTATACTTCCCATGCTAGCCAAGAAAGAGCTGGCTAAAAGCTGGTTTCCAATTAGTTATGTCATAGAAAGGAGCAGCTCCATATCTGCTTCCTGTCTCTAAACCACAACACAAGATGACATTTACTAGATGTGTGAGGCAAGGCATTAATGATTGTGTCTTTCATTTTGTAAACAAATTAGAAGATCTCACTCTAAAAGGGTCTCAACATTCATGCAGTTCTCTTTGCTGGATGGATAAGCCTTTGGATGAATAAAAAACTTAAAATGACTATGTGATGAATATATAAATATATAAATCACAAAACAACACAAGAAATTAAAATTTATTCAATGTGTTAATAGATTTACAAGAAAGTTCCAACACCTAATGATACCACCATCTGAATTATTTTCAACATATTGTGGTCAACTAAGGTTCACTTTTAAGTTCTTTCTTAATGTGTTGTTAACTTTAACCAGAACTGATTGTTAAAAATGTTTTGTTCTAAACTCCTATAGAGACTTCACTAGAATATAATATATAAACACAAAACAAATCTCTGTTCAAAAAAGTGCACTGTAAATAGCCTCTAAACAAATGAAACTCTGGAAGCTAAACATATAAACAAAGTGAAATAAATATGTGTTACACAAAAAAATTAAGTAAGATTTTCATACATACCTCTCTTCTACAGGTTGTGGCAAATGCTGTTGTTCTATGGCATTAAGATACAGAGAGTCTGCTGTTTTAATCTGACAGGCCTGCACAGTCAGATATTTGAATATATGCACCTTACCCTTTGTACAAATCTGTTAGACAAGAAAAAAAAGTCAAGTTTATAACGAGAATGAAAGAAAAAAATTATTCCAAATGTCACTTAGCATAAAACTCCCTGAAAACCAACTCATTTCAATACAATAGATATCACATAAAGGAAAACAGATTTAATTCGTTTTTTTAAAAAAGTACTAAGAATTACTTCAATTACCCAATCAATTATTTGTGTGTACTAGTATAAATACCCTCACAGTAAGACAAAAAACAAGAAAAGAACATATTTTACTTCAAAAAATCCCAATGAGCTTTTCACTCAAAGAGAATTATGATAAAATTTATTGTATGGCCTATTACTAACCGTAAATTGAACAACTTTTCCAAAATTAGTCAATAACTACACTTAATCAGCATGTCCTCTATGCTCTTAGTCACATTGTTTTTACTAGTGTCCAAGCATCTTTATGATGCATTTCACCTGCATTTTAGAATAATTTTTTTTTCCTTTAACTGCACACTTTTAGATCAAGTGTTTGCTGAAATGTGCTCTGTATTTTTTGAGATTAGGAGCAGCAAGACCATTGGTTATGAAAAGCATTTCTCCAATGTAATGAAAACTCTTAAGTATTTCAGCAGCTGTTGATCTAGACCAATTGTAGCTTTCAGAGATGTAGTTTTAATTTACTGTCCATTCAGTCAACAACGAAGTTGTCCTTAAGCAGCAAACACAAGATCCATACATTTCTTATCACCATTTCTCAGCACGGCCTACAGTTGAGAACAGGAGTTTGATTTCTTTGTGTATCACAATCTATGAACTTACACCAAAAAATAAAACAAATTTCACATGGATTACATTGTAGACCATATGAATATTTCTTAAGTTGATAGTAAATCATTGTAGAACCTTCTAGAACTAGGTTCTTATTCACAGAGAAAAAATTTATCCAGACCTTTCTCACTTCTCTTTTTCAACAAAATATACGTACTCCAACATTAAGTTTCATATGCAGATAGAAATGACAAAAACAAACAGGCAGCTAACAGAATGGAAATCTAAACTCAAGCTGGTTCAAGTGGTGCATAGACTCATACATAGAAATAGGAGACTTTCTATGTCTTAAACTGAAAGAGGGGAGATTTACATTAGATATACGGAAGAAATTTTTTTACATTGAGGGTGGTGAGGCACTGGCACAGGTTGCCCAGAGAAGTTGTGGATACCCCATCCCTGGAAGTGTTCAAGCCAGGTTGGATGAGGCTTTGGGCAACCTGGTATAGTGGAGGGTGTCCCTGCCCATGGCAGGGGGGTTGGAACTAGATGATCTTTGAGGTCCCTTCCAATCCAAAACATTCTACAATTCTATGATTCTATATATCAACAACTAATGTCTCTGATGACTGAAGTTCAGAAGCCTGCAATTGTAAAGATGACATTTTATAGGCTATAATTTGTTACCATCCACCCAATATTAAGGCACAATTTAAATTACAGATGTTACTTACTTGTGCTGGTGGAGACTGCAAAGGATTATTCTCAAGCAATAATACTTGTAACTGCACCATCTTTCTAAAACAAATTGGAATCACAAGCACTTTATTGCAGGAAAAGTCGAACTTTACCAAAGGAAGCTGTACTAGTTCTAAAAATAACAAAAAAGAGAGAAGGTGTTATATCTGGCATTTTTTTTGCCTTAAAATGAGAAAATATTTCTCAATAAACCTTTTGCATTCAGGAAAAACACAAACTCAGGCAGGAATACGATCCAACATTTCCTCCATTCTATACTGAGAAATGAAAAGAGTGTTACTGTTATACAAGTGACAATAAATTTTAAAATAAATACTTTGAAATATTTTTTTTCCTGAAACTCAGCTGACAGTTCCCATACTGCATTCACAGGTAAATAGTTGTACAACTTAAAAGATGCTTAGAATCATAAAAAAAAATCATTATTGAAACCTCAGACACTGCTGTTTGTGAATAACACAGAATTATACTCTGCAAATTCAAATGGAATAAATTTGAACACAAAGTAATTACTACTTTTCAATCATTTACTTACATGATTAAAAAACACTTTCAAAATGCTAATAAAAACAGGTACCATAAAGGTATTAGGATTTTCGGTTGGTTTGTTTTTACCTTGGGGTAAAACTTCGAGGTAATTTCTTCTGACATTCAGTTCTTTTAAAGATTTCAGCTGGCCTATCTGTTGTGGCAAAGCTGTGATTTCATTACAGCTGACATCCTACAGCAAAACAGTAACAATAGAAATAATGAACTTTTGGCTCCTAATGTTAAGTAATACAGACATGAAATTGTAGCTGATTTGCTATTATAGTTGTAACATTTTATTAACCTGAAAACACGCAATCATCTATGTCCTGTCTTCACAAAACTGGATACATAAGAAAACATTTACGCATAACTTAAAACCCAGACCAAATTCTTATTTGAAGAACAAGTTAATTTTGAAAGTTAATTTCTACAGAAACATTCAAAACCATTTGCTTAAGATGTTCTACCTTTTTGTTCTTAACTTTTATTCCTATGAAGAACTCAGTACCATAAGTATACAACCCAATATGTTTGGATGAAATATAAAACTGCTAGTGTGTGGATCTGATTTTTTCAAAAAGGTTCTTGTTCTTCTGAAGGGAATATTTGAGCAAAACTTGAAAAAAAAAAGAGAAAACAGCAATAGCATTCTGTAACGATGCTCAGAAAAGGCATATAATTGATTTTCACATCGCGTAGTAGGCCATAATAAAATAGGACGGATCTTGTTTAGTATTGCATAGATATTCCACATATTCTTGTAAAAGGTACTTCTTAACTGCCTAGACAGGTTCTAAATAGGTCTGATTTTCATTACGAAATACAACTGGCTTAATAATCTGGATGAAATTGGAACCCATCCTCATTTCAGCATTCCTAAAGGAGTAACTGCTGTAAAGTTGAGTTGAAAGTACAGAGCCTGGCTATACTGAGCATAATTTCAAGCAATCAGATATTACAGTAGTATTACTGTAATAAATATTATACTTTAGCACTATTGCTAACAAGAAACTGCTATGAATGTGTACTAAAGATTAACTTCTTGGATTAAGTCAGTCTAAAATGAGATCGTTTTCAGATACTAGCTATCGCTTTTGCTGCCAAATGGTTTACACTTAGTGTGAAATCAAAAAGACATTGAAATCTCTGCTTACGTCCCAGGCAACCTGTAAATTTGAGCAATGTCCCGATTATGTTTCTATTTCTGCTTTAAAGAAAGTAAACAGTATTTCATTGTATGAAAGCTAAGTGGGCTAATACCAAATTTTCCTAAATAGCCAACAGAATAACTTTTAGGACGTTCACCTCTACTCTCTTGATTGTTTCAAATAGACTTATACAGTATCTGGGATCTCTAGACTTTTGTAGAATTTTGTAATTTCTAGAAGTCAGTCTCATTTCTAGAAGTCATCTCTTTGAAGATAAATGCTTTAATACTAGTCAAAACTAGTCAAAAGCATTACATTAACTCTCTGTCTTCAAGCCCAAAAACTAGTCAACAAAAAGTGACAGGAAAAGCAAAATGTGATCTGGCAATGCTGCTCTCTGTATCAGACAATTTTCTTCTTGTAACAGAATCTCCCTGTTGTCAAAGCTTCCGTCCCTTATCAAAACACAGTCAGGAAATTATTTTAGCTTTTAGAGAAGGAAATTAAAAATCCCAGTTAATGAGTGTATCTTTTGCCCAAGTTGCCACAAAGTATGGTTAATTGCGCTGTTCCCAGATCACTTATTTTTAAAGCTTTACTGTCCTATTTTTAATTTACAGACTTTAAACAACTTCATAATTAGATAGTAATTTTTTAGAGCACGGAATTTAAACTCAAAGTCACCTTGTGGCCGGGAAACTCTAGACCAAGTGAACTTATACACACACATCAGAACAAGTCAGGG